TGTTTGGTCTAATTTTGAAATTTTTAATATTTTTAATAATTTTTAAAATTACGCTAAATTGCGCTAAAAAATTTCGAAAACTAAACTTCTTGGAGTATAATTAAATTTTCAGGGCTTCAATAACTGTTTCACTTCTTGTCTTTTTTCAATAAAAAGCAAATTTTAAGCCTGCTCGCTCGCTTCACTCGCTCGAACTTAGACAAAAAACAAAAAAAAAACAAAAAAAAACATTCAAACCGAATTTTCGCGACGTAAGGACACTCTTTTGAAAATGTTTTACTTTTGTTCAAATGGCGCTTGAAAGGGTTGCAATATGGTATGTCAAACAACCCAAACCAATGATTATTTTTGGTACTTGATTTTGCGTGGAAAAAAAAACACTCAAATACAAAGCTCTTCCCCCATTTTCCATGGTTGAACGATAACTTAAAAATGAAAGCATGAAAATTAACTGAGAAATCAATTCTTTGATACTATTAACGGAAGGCAAAAACGTAATACACGTTTTAATTCATATCTGTTGCAATTACTGCAGCTTTCATCAATAAGGTCATAATGGCTGCGCTGCTACTATTAGAGCAAAACTCTAAATTTTTGAAAAATTCTCATGCGGAATTTATCTTTCATATTTAATATTGAAAAAAATTTTCTCCAAAAATGTAAGATTAATGTAATTTTTGTTCAAAACCACTGGGGGGGGGGGGGGGTGATCGAAAATTATATTGATCTTACATTTTTGTTCAAAACCACTTTATTTTTTGTTCAAAACCACTTTATTTGTGTTTTAAACCAAATAAAGTTTAAGCTCGTAAAAAGATTTGATGTCGCGGAGTGTTTCGTTTGAAATTTTTGAATAGTCTGAAAAAAAAAACAACCTCTTTTTCAGGCATTGACAACATTTGGTTGAGCTGCGAATTTTTGGTGGTAAATCGATAGAAACACACTTGCACCTATCATTTACTAAATAAAAAGTGTCAAAAACAAAAAGACATTGCTGGAAGCATCACTCGAATAGTTTTGCATTGACCTGATTTTAGAAAAGGATGGAAAAAGTCAATTGAACTTTGTAGAAGTGTTCTTGTATATTGATCGATACATTTCATGAACATCTGTTAAGGCATATAAATGCCTAAAACGTTCAAAGGTTTATCAGATAACTTTTATTCTGAAATTATTTGACTTGAAAAATGGAACTCAAAGTTTGATTAAAAACGTTAATACTAGCCAAAGCTATATTGAATATCCCAAAAAACCGATATATTCAAAAATATTTATATTCAAAATCTCAATCAAAAGCTTGAACATTTCGAACATGTTTTTTTGGTTGCTTTTCATGCCCTTGATCATTGAAGGTGTTTATGACAACAACAACGCTATTTGTCAAGAATGGACAGAATCTTATAGTCAAGGAGGTTTGCTGCTCGTTTCAACTTTTTTGAAATTGATGAATTTTACTGAGACAATAGTCTCATTCTCGTTTAATTTGTTCCTGAATGCAATGTGTATTAAAAACATTTTTAAAAATTTTAACTGGTTTCTACGCAATTAGCACCGAAAGATCCGACCACAATAAAAAGCTATGATGTTGGTGGATTTGTACGAAGGTCTATAAAATAGGCACAGTCGATATTGAAAGCGAACCAGCTAACCGCCGACCTACTTATTTCTAATATCCAGGCCATAAGCAGAAGAAAAACAGAGCCCAATCTTGTAAAAAAAAAAACATTGAAAACGGACTGTATTCAAATTTAAAAAATGCCGCTAAATGAAACTCCGATTTTTCTGGAATTCAATTATGTTTTTACCGCTGAACCTGAATTGTATGAATTACACCTATAAATCTATCATAAGCTAGCTGAAAAAAAAAACGTTTTGGAAATTCTTTTACGGCTTTTGAATTACGACTGAGAAAGCTTTAAAATTATATAACATTCAACACATGTTTGTGGCACCTTTGGTTAGAAAAATGGCCGGAATAACAACAAAATTACGTTCACGGAAAAATTACAAAAAAGCATATCCTAAGATTTTTGCTTATTGTTCCGATTTTCGATACGAAAGTAACGGAATATTTGTGCTCGGGGTGGGTTTTTTATTTCTTCAGACAAATTTCGACTTTTTGACGGAATTTTTGACGGAATTTTTTTATATCATTCGAAAGGTTTTGTTGTCCTGAGCTTAAATTTCAAAAAATATCTCACCTGTGATCATTTTTCGTAAAGTTATGAGGGTTTAAAGATTGCCATTTTGGCCAATTTGGGACAATTAACGCGCGATATAATTCGCGCTATTAACGCGTAAGCGGAGAGTTAATCAGTCTTAGAAATTGTTCCAAATTGGTTGAAAGTAGCTTATTTGCCATAATTGATTTGTTACAAGGAGCGAAATTTATCCTTTTGTTCTTTATATGGCGTGTGGGGGATGATTTTCGTGTAAAATTCAAGTTAAAAAAAATTTCATTTTATTTTATTACGTTTAAATTTTTCAGGTTATTACTGCACCATAAACCTTAAAAGGCAGTCGGAACATTCAGGGCTCCGCCCTGGTACGAGCAGTCTAGTATTCTTTTCTAATTGCCAAGTTCTTCTATGAAATGTGGAACTTATTCGTTCCTAAGAAAACAAGTTTAAGAAATTTATTTTTACTAGTTATTTTACTTCCAGTTGTTTAATAAAATCTGTTACATGCTGAATTTTCAAATCCACTCATTGTACTTTTGTCATCCACTCATTGCATTAATATGCATAGGTGTTGGAGAGTCAAGCTGTGTGGTGCCTGGATCAGTTGGTAAGTGCGGCAACTGCATGACCATGAACGACTGTGGAGAGGGGAGATTCTGCTGTCCCTTCATGAAGAAGTGTGTGTTCAGTTCGGAGGGCTGCTACTACCCCATTGCCGATTGTGGACCCAGATGCTACGATAGCGACGACCCCACTAAATGTTCATGCAGGTTCAAGTTCCTGGCACATCTTTTCAGCTTATCTTCTCTTCTCACCTAAACTGATTTCTTTAAATAAGTTTATACCAATTTTGACGGTTTTTGTCTACAGAGACGATTGAAAACAGGCTCTATGGTCTTTTTCTCTCAGGCTTGAAGCTAGATAGTTAAGTTATGCAATAACTCTCTTGTATAAATTTAAGCCTGAAATCATTTTATTATTATTGTTATGAGGTGTGATTAGCATGTGTGCCTATTAGCATGCGATAGTTGCTTTATTTGGGTGCTCCTATGAACCAAAAAACAATTAGCTTATATTTATTCAAATAATCTCGGAAACCACTTGATTTTCCAGGAAATTTGAAATTAGAATTTTGCATTATTATAAGTTCGGCCAACAATGCGCGCTGATCAAATCGCAAATTGGAGAAAACAAAGCGCGAGACTTCAAACTACATTCTTTATCACGGGCATATGCTAATCAACTCACATGCTAATAGGCCAATCCTCATTGTTATCACTCGTCTGTCGCCTTTCGTTTTTGAAGTTCTAGACTTTTCAGGTTACAACCAATTTTGGCCGCCTGTCTAGTTTGCTCACAAAACCGTTCAGGAGTTTTTCAATTGAAGTTGGCAAGTATAGTGTAACTAGGCTTTTTCCAGTAAACTATCGTCTAACAGAAACATGCGCATTATGCTCAATTATTGTGCAGCTCTTAAAACTCTTGTAATTTTTCAATACCACTGTAAATAGAAAAAATAGGCTCACTATTGTGCCAGCAGCATGATTTTTGTCTCAGTTTATATCCAAAAAACTTGATTTGACCATTTCACGAAGAAAAGCGAAGGAACTATGGCGAAAGCTGTCTTTTCATCCCGATTTCATCTGCCTCAATGAAAACTGCAAGCCATTTTCAGTCATCACGCAAAGTCCACCTGTAGTTGTCTCAGTTTCAAGAAAACGGAGTTTCTGATTTCTGATTTTTTCTAGTTTTTTGGCAAAATTTTGAAAAAACAGACAAGAAAAGAGAGTTTAAAGTGCTTTTTTGAAGATTTGGACCAAAAACTTTAATTTTTGGCGCGCGCTTTCCCTCAAAACTAGTTTAAATTGGCGCTTAAATTTTTAGCCAAAAATGAATATTTCAAAATAGTACAAAAAAAAGACCCTTTGGGTTGGCAGGGGGTAAATCCGCTACAGTTTTTGGTATTGTTTAGCTATAACTATTTTTGTTTAGGTCTCATTCTGCAGTTTTTAGCCTATTTTACTTACTTTTTACTGAATAAAAAGTTATAGATGTGTCAAAACTTTTTGTTATTTTAAGAAGTTTCTCCCTTTTTTTGAAATTTTTTAATTTAAAAATAAGATTTAAAACTTTTGACGAAACATTTCCAGCTTTCTGAACAGCACCTCGGAATCCAGGAACATACAGACACAAAATTGTGCTCCTATCCAGTGCACAGTTTGGCCTCGTAATGTGGCTATCATTTTTTTTCAAAATGTTTTCAGTTTTTTTTCCTGCTTTCGTGCGAGTCGAGTCCTTTTATTTTTTCCGTAGTGCAACCCTGTTTATTCAGAGTGCAATGTAGAAAAATTTCAGTAATAATTTTTTCTATTACATGTTGTCTGGTTTTTGATTTTTTCTCGCTAATTTGTTTGAATGCTTATAGCAAAAAACAATCGCGTAGGTGGTTTGTTGAACAACTTTTGCTACTTGAAAGAAAGCGATATACATTTCTTGGTCAATTGAGATATAATAATTAACCTTCTCAGTCATCATTCAGGAACGTGAAAAAGTTTTCTCGGTGTCAAGAAAACAGTGATTGAGTTTTTGCTAGTCAGAGTCAAAGTTAGCGACGAGCAATATATATTCTCATAGTTTTTATTGAACGAAAATTAATTGAAAATCTTTGAAAGCTTAATATAATTACGACTTCAATTTTTAGGGCCGGTGGACCGAAAATTGAAGTCGTATAATAGTTTACAAAGGGGGACCCTTTTGGTAGTCAGAGATTTAGAAACAAATTTCTATTTTATAAAACCTCCATTTTTCTTTAATTTTTGTATCGCAGCCGACTCCATTTTTAAGCTCCGTTTTGTTGCTGTGTTTTTATATTTTACTGGTAACCATTGTTTTTGTCAGCAATTTTTTTTCAGTGATCCTGACTTCCCCAACCAGTGGGTGTCATGCACCAATGACCCCCAATCATTCCAGTTTTATGGGGAGGTACAGGAGTCATCGGAAATGGCTTACACTAGAGAGGAGGGATCGAATGGGGCTGTCGCTGAGACTGATGATTTCTCCGAGGGTGCTCTTTGCAATCATAACAGACTCAGAGCGGCGGGAGGGTTGTCCCCTTTGACTTGGGATCAATGCTTGGGTAGGACAATTTTATACCACCACTTTTACTTTAAAATCACTTTGGATCCTGCGATTTGACACTCAAAATGATGAGCACATTATCTTCAAACAAAGCTCGCTCAAAATAAATGAGTTAGGACCGATGTGGTTAACTCATAGAGTAATTTCGGATAGGGTACACCGTCTGCTCGTCACGCTATCTTATTTTCGGCCGGATAGATTCGTGCAACTTCTTAGTCTAATACCGATCCTAATCTTACTCTTATACTTACTAGCCTCAGGGTGTTTAGCTAGTCTCTGCTAGGCTCAATAGATCTAGGGTATACTGGTTTATTGCGGCTGCTGAAGTTCTCTTGGAGAGGCAACTAATTTCTAAGTTAAATTCAAATCTCTCTGGTGCTGAAATTACAAGTAATTTCAGCACATACAAATAAGTGGGTTGTTAGTTGGATGGATTATGATTGGTTAATATTAACTATTTTACAGTGGTAAAATATCCAATTTATCCAATTATAAAATGTAGTTTAGATCAGGTTCTACCCATCCGGGTTTTACACAGTTTTTTAGAATTATCTTTCTGCAATTTGAAGGATGGATGATGAACGTTGGTATTTGGCGAACATCATATTCTTGTCCAGTTCTTCTTGTCGAAGAAGTTCCAGGACGCTGGAGTTAGGGACATACAATCGTTGCGTCGTCTTTTGACAACGACTGTGATAACCAATGAAATCAATCTGATTTCAAAATGATTTGCTATGACGGGTTTTTCTGTATTATGTAGATAACTTGTTTTGTGTTCAACCTCGTCTGGGAATGGCGTGGAGATCGTGTGTGGAAGGGATGCCTCGTAACTCGGATCTGTACGTATACTTGAACATCGAGGTCGTCATTGGTCTAGTTCAATGAAGTCCTTTTCTGCGAAGTCAAGTCGTACTCTAAATCCTTTGAGTTGTGATTGTGGACGGCATATCGATTGTGCTTAGCCATTCTTTTGTTCGAGTGTGATGGGATCATCTAGTCTTTGAATGTTCGTCTGTGTTGTTGTGTATTGATCTATATACTGCAAAGTATGATTTACATTTTATAAAATTATGTTAGTCCAATTTTTTAATCATGATTTTAGTTAATCGTTTTCACAAAAGCGTTTTGTTTTAGTTTCGTTATTTTGAAGAGTTACTCACCCTTGAGTACCTCTTATTAAAAATAGAAGTGTGGTCACAAAGCGTGGATGTAGCGCGGTGGGTTAGGCCGGCTATAGAGCATGCTCAGGACGTCCTCTCTGGTGGGTTAGGCCAGGAGTGGGAGTATGATTTCGTGCTGTTTCTTTGAGAGGTGCTGTTATGTGATAACGTTTTATGTTGGGTTTATGTTTGTCTCTCTTATGTTACTTTGGTCCTGTCCTTGTTTCAAAAATCAAATTGTTTTTGGTATGGGTTTGTCTTGCGACTTTTTTGTGTTTTATTATTTCTTTATAATGGTCTTCAAAGAAATAAATTATCCAGTTTAAAACTGGGTTAATCCGGTTTGGGTACCGTTGGTTTTCTTTTCTTAGTCATGCTGTTATTTTATGATTTGTGGTGTTTAGTAAGCTGCGTTGGTTGATTTGGTTCAGTATATAATTCCTTTCCAACCGGGTTAAAGGAAAGTTTGAAACTTGTTATCGTGTGTTAGAGTTGTTGAGTGTGAAAACTTGAAACTTAAAATCATTATTTAAACAATTCTTTGTGGGAGAGCTGTGCGAGTTTGGATAGAATTCTTGTGCGAGTGATTGAAAATATCAAAAAAGTTAGTACTGCATTTTCATTTTATCAATTTATTACATAGAATTTGAATTTTACTGCGTTTTTGGGGGAAATTTAAAATTACAAATTTTCATCGTATTTAATTTTACTGCTTCATGGGGAAATAATTTATGGATTAAATTACTACATTTGGTATAAATTTTATTACGTTATTTAGTGCAAGAAACTAATGAATTTTAAGAGAATTTAACAAGTTTGTATTTTTATTTTTCTTTTCTGTTTTTGTAGGTGATCGTGGTGTGAAGACTAGAAATATAAATGAAACATTAGTAAAAATTGGTTAGTACTAATTTAAATTTATTAGTGAAGAGTATTTTAAATTATACTTACCTGTTAATCATCTGGGAAAAAGCCGTGGGGGAAGATGTCGTGTATCATATCTGATGTTGTTAGTAATTTGGCTAGTATGCGAATGATGTTTTTAGTTTGGAGCAGTGGCCAAAGCAATCGAAGTGCTTTAATGGTTTTTAGTTCTTCGATGCCTATTGCAAACTCGTAAGGTGTGTTTTGAATGAGGTTATATATTTTGTGATTATCTTTAGTATTGTGAATGAATTCTAATATTGGTATTTCTATAGGTTGGATAAATTCATGCGGGATAAGGAAGGGTCTGGATTCTTCGGCGTTAAAGGTCTTCGTGATGGGACAAAATATATACAGTTGTGTTTTTGGGTCATAGTTGCGGAGGATGCCGTGGAGGTTAGTATCTTTGATGCAATATGTAAAAAAAAGGAAAAATGGTGATGTGTATTTTGAGTTAAGAAACTGAAAACGATGGTGTGGTTGTCTCGATGGGGTATGCAAATCAAAATGATTTTGTATGAAACGATAGTATGTATATGTGTGGGTTTGTTTAGTGCGTAACATAATATTGTGGGAACAATGCAAATCGCGTTCATGTGGTCCAAGAAAGTGGAAGGTTAGTGAAAATAACTGAAATTTGTCATGGAAACTTTCGTAAGCTTGAATATCAGCTAGTGCTTCAGAAATGATGTGATCATATTTTCTATCAAAAATATTAAGTGTGAATACATATGACGTTTTGATGAAAATTTTTTCTGTTTGTTGTGGGTTAGCGAAGCGGTCGGATGATATCAAACGGTCGGATGATATTATGGTCGTAATATTCTATTGTAAATTCGTTAGCTCGGGGTGCAGTGAATGTTTTTAGTAATTTTTTATATCCTACGTAAGTAAATGGTCGAGGTGTTAGTGTTGTAGTGAGTCTATATAACATGTCTTTGTTCTTTTCTATGCTGTCATGAGTATTAGTTAGTGGTAGGCAAAGGGGGTTAGTAAAATGATAATAAGCTGTCCAATGAAGTGTTGGCATTAAAACATGTTCATCTACAAAATTACGTGTGTCATTAGTATCGTTAGGTGTGTTTAATGTATATTTTAGAGTATTTTAAATTATACTTACCTGTTAATCATCTGGGAAAAAGCCGTGGGGGAAGATGTCGTGTATCATATCTGATGTTGTTAGTAATTTGGCTAGTATGCGAATGATGTTTTTAGTTTGGAGCAGTGGCCAAAGCAATCGAAGTGCTTTAATGGTTTTTAGTTCTTCGATGCCTATTGCAAACTCGTAAGGTGTGTTTTGAATGAGGTTATATATTTTGTGATTATATTTAGTATTGTGAATGAATTCTAATATTGGTATTTCTATAGGTTGGATAAATTCATGCGGGATAAGGAAGGGTCTGGATTCTTCGGCGTTAAAGGTCTTCGTGATGGGACAAAATATATACAGTTGTGTTTTTGGGTCATAGTTGCGGAGGATGCCGTGGAGGTTAGTATCTTTGATGCAATATGTAAAAAAAAGGAAAAATGGTGATGTGTATTTTGAGTTAAGAAACTGAAAACGATGGTGTGGTTGTCTCGATGGGGTATGCAAATCAAAATGATTTTGTATGAAACGATAGTATGTATATGTGTGGGTTTGTTTAGTGCGTAACATAATATTGTGGGAACAATGCAAATCGCGTTCATGTGGTCCAAGAAAGTGGAAGGTTAGTGAAAATAACTGAAATTTGTCATGGAAACTTTCGTAAGCTTGAATATCAGCTAGTGCTTCAGAAATGATGTGATCATATTTTCTATCAAAAATATTAAGTGTGAATACATATGACGTTTTGATGAAAATTTTTTCTGTTTGTTGTGGGTTAGCGAAGCGGTCGGATGATATCAAACAGTCGGACGATATTATGGTCGTAATATTCTATTGTAAATTCGTTAGGTCGGGGTGCAGTGAATGTTTTTAGTAATTTTTTATATCCTACGTAAGTAAATTGTCGAGGTGTTAGTGTTGTAGTGAGTCTATATAACATGTCTTTGTTCTTTTCTATGCTGTCATGAGTATTAGTTAGTGGTAGGCAAAGGGGGTTAGTAAAATGATAATAAGCTGTCCAATGAAGTGTTGGCATTAAAACATAATCATCTACAAAATTACGTGTGTCATTAGTATCGTTAGGTGTGTTTAATGTATATTGTGGAATTGAAGGTAAGGTGATTGCTAGAAAATCTTTCGTGTTGGTGTGTTGTGGGTGATTAATTTTCTTTTAAAAGTGCGATAAGCTCTATTAGTGCTATTTGAGGATTCGGTGGATGTGGATGATTGTGCTAATGATGCAGTGTAAGCTGAGGAGGGTGTAGGAGTAGGTGGGTTTGAGGATTCTATTGTGGATGTATTGTGAGGGTGTTAGGGTGTATTAACTGTTGTTGTAAGGTAATAAAGTTATCAAGTTCCTGGGAATTTTGGGGGGTATCTGGAGAATTATTATATGATCGGTCGGAGTGAAGTGGAGAGTAGGTTGGGGTCACTTGCGAAGCATAACAAGGAGTGGAAACGGATGGGAGTGAATTATTCGATGGGATTGGTTGAAAAGGGGGTTTTGAAAAAATTGAGGAGTTGGTCTGAGCATTATTTGATGGAGATGGTTCGGAGTCTGCAAATTCGTCAGGGGTTTCTATATTAGGGTTATTAAGTTGTGAGATAGAGTATAAAACTGAAATATCTGAGTTAGGATCAGAATTCGTGCTTGATGATATATTAATAATGGGAAAATCGGGTGGTGGGAAAGCAAAAAGTGGGATTATTGGGATTTGAGTTTGGAGGTTGGCTGGGTGGGAATTTGAGCGATGTAGGGCTCCAAGTTGTCGGCTCATCGTGGGCTAAAAAAATGATTATTTTGAGACTGAAAAGTGGTGGTGAGGG